AGATAATCATCCTAGATAAGAATTCAAGCAATATATGTCTATATCAACTTAAATCCCTAGCACAAAGCAAAAATCAAGGACAACAATCGACAAAGATTTGTAAAGCAAATTTTATATAACACCGTGCGCGACAAATATACATAAGATCAAAGTAAATACATATACAGACTCAACATACAAAGAATACATAAATAAGAAGAGAAATGAACCACAAATCTTCCTATTTGTTAGCTCTGAGCAAAGAGAAATCCACCCCAGATCATTCGTATGCAAGCTTCAATATTGTCTTCTAAGCTAAACCTAGAGAAAAATGATGGTTGATGGAGTTTGGGAGCAAAAATAATCCCCAAAACCATCACCAAACAAAATGAAATGAAAATATATACAAAACTATGTTTCTCAAGCATCGCCCGGAGACATAAAAGCTTTACCCGATGACGACCATCAAATACAAGGCCCAAGCTGCGCCACGTACACAATTGGCCAAAAATATCTACCCTCGCCCAACGAAGGGAAGCTTCACCCGGCGACATCCTTATTTCTCGACCAGCGAGCTGCTGGCGAGCCCAAGTCAGTAGCTACTAGAAAATTGATCTAGTCCTCTCGCCCCTCCGTCGCCCGACAAGGCCGACGCGAGAGCTTCTCGCCCAGGCTTTGCCTGGCGAGGCACACCAGAACAACAACTTTTGTTGCATCTTCTGCATAACTCTAATGGCTCTATCTTCTTGGTTTTATACCTTTATTGATCCAACAATGCATCTTGGAGATTTTATTCCTCTTGCTCCAACAATGCTTAAATACCTACAAAAAGAATGGAAAAACATCAAACAGTACACTATGTATACAAAAAACACAAATAAACACAAACTAAACGAATTTATACACAAAGTTGTGTTATTCAACTGATATTAACAACAAATAGTCGATAAGTGCAACAAAAAGTATATACAATAATAACTACAATTTGCACTTATCACATACCACACAAAATATTATTAAGGCCAATGCATGGTGATTACATTACTGATTTTCAAATTTTAATTCCTAAGGAATTGCCATAATAAAAACATTACATTCATCTAATTCATAGTTCTTTAGTAGCAAATTATAAAATACTTCCAAACCATCTTCTTATACAAATCTAAAACAACCTAAAATAATTCCTTATGCTCCAACACCCAGACACTTCCTTGGCAACACAATTATTCAACTTTTCAAGACAGTTACAACAATCTTTTCACTCGAGGAGTCGCTGATTCTATACGCGACCTTATCACCATTCTTTAGCCGCCTGTCCCTAACAAAGTCATTCCAACTATCACCTGAAAACCTTTCAACATAATACTTCCTTTCAACTACACGAAGTTCACAACCATAACTATTTCCAATACTCGAATCAACCAACTTTACACGTCTGTGAGACCTGTGCAACGAGTTTCGTATCACTATATGAGGGATTTGCTACACAAAATAATGGTAATACATTTCAATATATCAGAGTATATAACTTATATAATAACAATAACAATAACACATTACGGTTTCAAGGGTCTACTTACAAACACATTTTCTTTGGGTTTCTTGCCAGCTTTTTTCTCCCTTTTCCATATAGCATAGCTTGGAAGGTTTTCCTGATCTACATCACTATCCTCATCCTCAGAACTGCATGAACCATTAAATTTCACTTATACACTAACATTCTAGAATTGCATTTAATAACCACACATGTTCATTATTTTATTTATTTAAATTAAATTATATACCTGTCAGTGTATAAGGAAATTGACATGTGAGAAGTTCCAACACCCAAATCGCCTTTCACTCTCTTACCATCCTTTTTGTCCTTACCTTTTCCAATGAAATTTGTCACATTTGTCTTTCGTTTATCAACCACATTTTCCCGGACATTGGAAGGTCCTCCAGAGACTGCCGTTTTACCCTTAAAATCTCTGCCTCTATCACCTTCCTGGCATCCTGATACAGATGACCCCCATTTTTTCCTTCAGATTTGACACCATCTACAACCACAAATGTATTGAGTTTGTAATTAGACTTTGAAGCATGAACAAATGATGAACCATTTTATTTTTCTTTACCTTTCAGTGAACCATGAACATGACTTTCAGACTTGGTTTTTCACCACTCTTCAAAGCTTCCTTAGCAACTAGAGCCTCTTCTAAGTCCCAGTTTATTGCCTTTTATATACTAATTCTTCTGCAAGTCTTTAATGGTTCTGCATATAAATAACATTCAACAACATAGCATATCAATATATGTAACAAACAACATACTGATACATGAACCTACAGTACAGGGGATACAAGATTATACCTTTAAACGGGGATATTATGAATGGTGTTGGACATCATTTGATAGAAGTAAATTGACGCTGATGTTGAAAACCATAACTTTTTCCCTCGCAAGTAACTTTTTACAATCCCTAATGTATAGTGTCAACCTTCTCTATTCAATATGTCATATTTATATAAACCATAACCGTACTTCCATTATGCCCATCAACTAAAGTTGATGGGTTGTGGCTCATTCTAGCCATACTTACACTTATCCTTCTAAATCAAACCTATTAAATCAAATTGACTACAAACATAAATATTTTTCAATTTTTAAACTTTGTTATTTTTAATTTTATTATATACATTGCATTAAAAAGTGATTTTTCAGAAAATGGTCATAATATAATTTCTTAAAATAATGTATTGCAGCAATTCAGTTTGAGCAACTTAAATGCTCTTACAAATTAAAAAAAGAGATATCAAAACACATAAAAACAAAATAAACAACAATACACCATCCAAACACCATTGAATTCCTTTCATTACCACACTTCTGCTTTCTTAACCAATGGAAGATCTATTCATCACTGTGACGATAACCCTTTACGCGGCAGGGTCACGACGTCAACACTTTTTAACGGCTGCAACCTTCTTCTCCTTGCTATTATGGACTTTTGGTTTCAATCCCCTACATTCAATCAACCGACATACAATGAAGATTGTTAATCCTAAATTATCATCTCTACTACCCGCGTCGATTTATAATAATTTTGATATTCTTTACTAAATGTTTCTTACCTTTTTCCATTTTTCAATGCTTGACCTGCACTACCATTCTGACTATTGCCATTTACAGCTTCACAATGATTCCCTCTCTTTCTTTTTCCCTTTGCTTCTTCAGTAACAACCGCATCCTCACCATTGGACTTCAAAGCCTGGGCTGTGGAAATTTCCTAATTTTTTTCCATTCAGCTTCGAATTGGGTCTTCTCCAATGCCACCGATAACATAGTTACTCTGGTAAGTATCTTCCATTGCATATCTGGAACTAAATCTTTCATCGCTCTGAGAAATAACACCCCACATAAATCACCGCTGTCGAATTTTAGCTCAACAATTAAATGAAATAAACATGCAAAATATCAAATTTAATGAATCTAACCTTTGACGTCCCCTTATTGCACCTTGGATAGCCATCTTCAGATGGAACCTCAGGGTTGTGCTTGGTGTTCTTGGAGGACAAAGTTAGATGTTCTGATGTACCGTTTCTAATTCCATCATATGTTCCACCATTCTCCTTAGACCGGTTGGGTTCCTACATTTATCTAGCCCATATTAACTGGATATTTACAACCTAACATTATTTTAATTACATTTTTCGGCTCACTGTTTTTTTATTTAATCTCTCTTTTTTTTCTTCATTTATTGATTACATACTAAATAGTCGTATTCTCAATATTAACACATTTTTTTCATTTTAACACATTTTTTTTCTAATTTACAAATTACCATTTTGAATAACTTAAATTTTCAACTTAACATTTTTAATATCCATTTTTAACGTTTTTTTTTACCTACATATATTTTTCAAACTATTTAAATATTGCTATAATCTATCTATAACAATTTTTTTTAAAATTTTTTATCTCACCTACAAAGTTAAACACATTTTATTTTCTATAATATGCATAAACCCGTACAAATAGTTTGACAAAAAATAAATAAAAGAGCAAATCAAAAACTCATTTACTTAAAATAAAAAAACTATTTTAGTCTAATTATAATACTAAAATATTCACCATAGATAAGAAAATTACAAGTTTGCCATCAAACCCTAAATTGCATTCTCGATGCCAACAACTTCTTTCTCTATCTTAGTTCCTCTGAACTGCGACTTTTGATTTGTATTTCCATCGACGCTCCACCACCACAAACGATTCACAAACTGCAACAGAACGAGAGCAACAAAGGCTTGTCGTCCACCGCTGCCGCGGGCCCCAGCTGCCACTATTCTTCACACCGACCACCGCCTCTAATTGCCATTACTTTGTTGTTGTGTAAGTTCTTCTTTTCTTCAATTTCTTAAGATTGTTTGGTACATTCTAAGGACTATTTTGTATCGTGAATTTAGAGACTGTGTTAATTTCATGTTCAACTTCATTCTTAGTATACCGATTCATCTATAGTGTTCTCATAAATATCAGCAAATATTAAGGCTAAAACATTAAGTTTTGGTCACACTGCAGACCAAGAACCATTAGGCTTAAAAAATGTCACATATTCTGAAATAAACTTGGCATCTAATTAACCAAGTTTACGCTCTTTAATTGTCTTCTTCATTTTGTACTACTTATAATGTCCTTAAGTCACTTTTTCAAATTTCTGTTTAAAAGAAACTTAAAAAACTATCCTAAAATGAGTATTGATTATGAGTTAATATTATTGACGGTTAATATTAAAAGAGAAATTGTCGCAAGTATTGATTCTAAGTCTATAATTGATGATTTCAAGTTACTCAAAGACCGTAAAACATTATTTTAAGGTATTTTTAGTCGTGCTCTTTAATCATTTGATGTTCAACTTTGTGTTTATTACAACTTATGTATTTTATATACATTATGATTTGAATATTTGATCTAGAAGTCATAATTTATTTTGATTGCTATCTCAAACTTTTTAGTCGGGCTCTGCCACTGGTTTTGTGACCATGAAAGGAGGAAGGAAAAATTTGAAAAAAGCATCAGAGGAAAAACATGTAACTCTCGGAGATGGGCAATGCATCATGCAAGTCGTGTCTCTTCGAGGATCCAATCTTATTGAGGTTTTACAATTTTTATTTTTTCTATAATTTTCTTTTTTCGGTTTCTTAATCATAATTGTAATGTATTGTTCCACTTTGATCTCTTTCAAGGTTATGGGTGCTAGCGGTGAGAAATCACTAGCTCTATTTCCCGCTAAATTTCAGAAAAGCATGTGGATTAAACGAGGTTTCTTTTATTTAACTACCAATTCAATGTTGATTGATGATTTTAGTTAGTTTTTTATTTTTATTTTTTACTTCATTGATGAACCAATGCAAGTGTTTTCTCAATCTTCAGGAAACTTTGTTGTAGTTGATGAGAGCGGAAAGAAAGAGGCTCTTGAATCAGGAAGCAAGGTTGGTTGTATTGTGTCTCAAGTTCTTTTCTATGATCAACTCCGTGCATTAAAGAAATCTGCAGAATGGTGTGCTCTTGTTAACAACTTTGATTTTTACGTATTTTACTTTGTATTCTTTGTTTATATTATATGGTAGCATCTAATGGTATTCACATGATATCAAATACTGTTTTTTTAAATGATGTTTTATGTATAGGCCTGAGATTTTTAAAGATGATCTTAATGAAAGAGTCGCCACCCAACAAGAGAATTAGACAGACACGAGCGACGATGATGGGTTGCCTCCATTGGAAGCCAATACAAACAGGGTGAGACCTTCTGAACCAGAAGATGAAGAATCTGATTCAGATAATGATGATCATTTTATTGGCTCTCATAGTTCAACCAAAACTCTGGAAAATATGTTCTTGTGATGTATCTATGTACTGAGTATTTGAATTTTTTATTAAAGAATCGAGTTTGCATTAACATGTCAAATTATAGAGAACATAAACAATCATTTGTTTGATTAATTCCGGAAGTTAGTTTTTTTTTTGGTTATATTTTTGCGAATTAATGATGAGTACCAGTAAGAAGAAGTTTAATTTGAACCGATAAAAAAACTGTTAGTGCTAATGAGTATTACCCAAAATCTATTTTGAAAGGATCAAAGGACATTTTATGTTGCCTAAATATTGAATACGGTTCTTTAACACTTGTACTAATATACTAAGAGACATAACAAAGTTGTTATTTATAAACATTAACTAAAATTTAAGAAATAATGTAGAATATATGCATTAAATGTTATGGAAAAAATCTAATGAAATTATTTATACACCAAAAAGAATAATTTTACAACAATAATCTTATGTATTGGCCAGTTCCAAAACTGGTAATTTGGTATGTACGTACATAAAATGAAATAATGTTGACTACTTGGATCATAAACTAAATTGATCTGAGGCAATGAACTCCTTTGCCTTCATCAAGGTGTCCCTTTTATCACTCTACTTGGTGTAGAATAACCCATCAGTTTATGCAAAGTACTTTTCTGTGGCTGCCTTGCCTCCTTTTCTGGGGAGTTCAAGAAAGTCAGAAGCACTGTCGAGAGCAATGCTCCAAGACCACAAGAGAATGAGATGCCACATCTCAACCCAAAACCTTAAGGTGATATGTAAATGAGTCATCTCTCTTATAAATCTAATATAACATCCATTCATAGGCAATGTGACACTTTATCACTCACACTTGCAACCAATAGTTATAACATTTGTAATCACTCAACATTAAAATTTTTATTAGTATGAATCTTTCACCATTGAATATCATATCACTTATATAATATCACTGTGATTGGTGGATCTGGAACTGACTGTTTAACGCTGGTGTCGCGAAATGTCGCGGAAGCAAGAGTCGCCACCGTCTTTTATTTTCTCCAATATGGACAGGACAAAAGCACAGCAAAATTCCTTATGAGATAGTTTCTCGGTTCGGGAGGTAGATTTATAGAAAGGGAAGGTGTTAACACCCTTTCTATCCATGGTTATCCATGGGCTCTTAGATACTTGCTCATTGTGTTTTCAAAAGTGTTTGCTTTTCAATTGTGAGTGGGTTTGAAAAAGTTTCATTGAAAACTTCAATTCGACTCTTATATCAGTCCTCAAGAGTGTTGTGAAGCGTTTGTTTTGAAATCTTTTAGAAAGTGTCAGTGTGAAAAGAGATTTTTGTTTGTTTTTGTTTGAAGAGAGCAAGTACCCAGGAGTTGTCTACCTACCCTGAGGAATTAGGCTGTGTAGATGTCCTTAAGGTAATGCCATCCCACCATTAAGAGGTAGGTAGCACCACCGTTGGAGGTGTTCGGGTCAATTCGAGTGTAGGGACAGTGTGGTCACCAGAGCAACAGTAGGACACCTTAGAATCTACCCCTATGCCATAGAACATGGACATAAGGACTTACTAAAACGTCCTATACTCGACGACCACGTTTCGAGGGCAAGGCAACAGTGAGGCGTACCCTAAGAGTGGTGTGTGAATTTGTGTGTTATATTCATGTTAATATTTGTCTTTGATCATGCCTTTGGTGAGCTACGCATTGTTTTTAATTTAGGCCATTCATTCTTTCAAGCAAAGTTTAGCAGTTTAAAAGTGCGGAAATTTAAATGCGCAAAGTAAAGTCCTACGCTATTACAAGGCGCGGGTCTATACATCGCCAAATTAACAAAGACCCGTTTTGAATAAAAATGCGGAAAGTAAATAAATTCCTAATGACTATTACAAGGCTTGAGCAATTACATAATATTCACAATAAAATAAATGCGCGAAAAGAATAAAGATAGGACGTTCGAGGGCGTTGGACCCTTTTGAGAAATTAAATGAAATTAAAAAGCTAATTAATTATTTAATTAAGAAAAGAAATTGTTTTTTATGTTTTTTTGTATTTAATGAAAATAAATAAAATTAATTAAAATTGGAAGTTAAATAAAACCCTAGTTCTAAGTTGTTTTTAATCATTTATGAAAGATATTCAAGTTTAACCTAATTTACCCTAATTAATTAATTACATGTTTATTTACAAAATTAATTAATAATTAATAATAATGATAATAAGAAAAAAATTATTTATTAAGAAAAAGATAAAAAGGTGAGAATGTTAAAAACCCTAATTTCTACATATTTTAGTTATTTAAGAAAAGATTAAAATTGAAAACCCTAAATTAAACTAAATTGATTATTAAAATTTATTTACAAGAATATTAATGAATTAAATACTAAATAAACATATTTTTAGTTTTGATTTTTCTGGTTTTATTATGAAAATTATTTTTTGTGAATTAAATAAAACAAAAAAACAATTAAAATAAAAAGAAGAAAAGAAAAGGAAATTAGAAAATATGATGCAAACCATGGGGGTATTCAGACCCAATTTGGAGGTTTATTGGAGCAATTTGGCCCAAGAATGCAAGCCCTTTTTTGACTTTCAGGACTCACGTGTGGAGTGGTTGACCAAGCTGCATGGTGGTCTTCACGTTCTGGCCATTAGATTGAAGCTCATGGACACTTGGCAGGCACAAGCATATGCGCATATGGTGGACCACTGGAGAGAAATTTCACCTGAACACGTTATAACAAAAATTATTGAGAATATGGGGGACCTGGGAATCGAACCCAGGTCCCAGTACCTGCAAGCCAACTAATCAACCATCCAGGCTATTGAGTCTCTTTGTTATTATAATAGAACACAAATAATATAATAGAAAACAAGCGCTAGTGGCATAAAGCAAGAAATCACGCGCCAATATTTGAATCATCCAGTCATGCTTGGACACGCTAGCATCGTCTTCCTTTTGTTCCTGCAAATAATACCAAATAGCGGGGGTTTTAAACCCCCACTAAACTCAACCTGAAAAAATAGCGAATAGGATATAGGCAAACATAAAAAGGGCACGATGTGTGAGTTAGCTTCGTTTGGATGTCACGAATCCATTGGTACCAGTTTGAAGGGCTAATTTTTCCTTATGTGTAAACCCCCAAATTTGGAGCTCCGAAACCCTAAAAATCGTTAATGGTGAATCATGATACAGGGCTTGATAATTCAATTGAGTTATGTCATTAGCTTCAGAAAGTCAACATTAGTATAAATCACTCAAGAAACATGATTAAAAATGCATGAATCATCATGTTGAATTCAAGAAATTTTGCCAAACCGTGTGATCTGTGTTTGATGATTCTGGGCACGTTTTGGCTTGTTCTCAATTGCAACCGCTTCCTTGATGGTCCAACAATGTGCTGGAATAGATTTCAGGCTTTGAAACGTGCAGTAACTGTGTTTTCAGTGTTCAAATTTTTTGTGAAACTTTGCAAATTGGTATGCAGCTCTTAGGCAGTTTTTCGTGTCCTGAGCATTAGGGTTATGTTGTATATGTATCTGAGCATGATTAGGTTAAGAAAGCATCCCCAAAGATCCATGCCTTTATGATTTTGATATTTGATCTTTCTACATATAAAATCCAATCTTTTTCAATCTTTTTGCCATGAAACTCTTGCCAATTGTGAAAGATCTTGCCTTTTTGAATGTGAAACGAAATCCTTAGCACATAATGAATGAATTCTCTGCACAAATAGATTTGAAAGATATTATTTGATATTTTTTCATATTTAAATTTAATTAAGTGAATTAATAATAGTAAAAATTCAAATAATTAATCAAAAATAAGAAAATACATCCCTTTGAGGTCAATGGGTCGTGCATGGCCTTTGGGAAATTATTCATGGAAGAATTTGTGGCCCATTAGCATTTTTGAAGCCTTTTGTGCAAAGTTGACTTTTCAAAATTCCCAAAAATTTCCCAACTTCTACAAAGCATATCTTGCTCAATTTTTAAGTTATGAACATGTTCTTGGACATTTTGGAAAGGTATTGAAGTCCTCTAACCAATGCCTTTGGTCCCATGTCATTTTGATTTACCAATATCAAGTTATGGTCTTTGACTTAAAGTGCCTTTTTGTTGACCTTTGAAAATGACCTATAATGTTGAAATTGATAACTTTTTGTGAGAGCATTTCTTGGACTTGAAGTGTGAAGATGAATTGTAGGAAATGTCATTCTCTTCAAAATGAGATTTTGATGGAATTTTTCTGATAAACCATGAAGAAGTTATGCCTTGGTCAATTTGCAGTTGACTTTTTCAACTGTCCAAAATAGAAACTTTTGCATCTTGAGACTTTTTGAGCCATGCTTTGAGAATGATGATCAAGAATTGATCAAATGATGTTTGTGGCTTCAAAATAAGATGTTGACCAAAAATTTTGACTTTTGACTGTCAAATGACTGCCCCTACAGTTGACTGTGAAGCATTTAGGGTTTTTGACTGTGCAATTTGATGCTGTGAGTCTTGAAACTTGGCATATGAATGCTTGACAATATATGTAGGCACATGGGACTTGTTTGGACCCTTGAAAACTTCAACTTCTTTGCCTGAACCAAAACCCTAATTTTGACTGTGTTAGGAGGCAATTGGACTGTGCAACCCCAGAGGGGTTTTGAATCTTGATGTTGGCAAATCTTGAAGAATATGGGAGGGCAAATTTTGGGGTACAACAATCACAAAGATAAAAAATTAAATTATTAATAAAATCCTTTCACTCCTCTCGTGAACTAAACATATTTTTAATTAAAATTCCTCCTTTCCTTTCCCTTCCCCTATTTTTAACCAAGCATATCTAGAATTAAAAAAATCTTTCACCTCTCCTCTCTTCTCTCCATTAAATTATTT